AGTAAATCCGTTGTAAATGTTATCATATTGTTTACAAATTATACCTCAACTTATCATCATTATCTGCACACAAAAGAAACGTGAATATACAATGATAATTACCTGAAATATAACAGTTCGCCAACATCATGACAGTTAGTCAACATCACTCTGAACTTATAAGAGCTAGGTAAAAGAATCAATGTGCCGAATTCAATAATATTTTTACAATTATCTGATAAAAATAAATATCACTTGAATCGTATATTGTTCATAATGTTATCTCATAATCACTAATAAACCAAATTATAGTCATCGTTCCTAGGTGAAATTTGTGATTAGATCTAATTTTTTTCAGAATATTGAGAATTATATAGAACCTTCAAAACACACATTTGTGTACGTTATGTTTTACGATAAATCGAGGGGAATTTATCACGTCACCTTTGTGTTAAATAATAAGTATTATTTAGTCCGTTGTTCAGTTGACAAAATCTAAGCTTTGTTTTGGTACATTACAACGAATATGGTGGCTTTAGATCAACTTTCTAAATGACAAATTATATACGCTTCATCTCTATTCTTTATAATATCATCAGATTACAAAATTTTGGACACCCACTATTCATATTTTACTTCATTGAAGCATGATTTTTCATGAATTTTTTTAAGCTAAATCGAAACAATTGAGTTGTGAATCAGTACATTTTGTTCAGTAATACACCGATTCATTCACTAATCGTTTATTAATGAACACAATTGAAAAATACTATTTAACTTTGAACTTGTAATGTGTTACACAAAATATGCAAATCCATGAGATATAATTTTCATATGCAAATGTAGGTAATGTTTTCCGCATGAAATTATAAACAGTGTGTGAGAGGCCCAGATAAACAATGCATAGGTTGTTGCAAATTAATCTCGATTGCGTTGTGATTAATGACTGAATGTCGAGAGTCAATACAAATCGGTTCGACAGCTGTATATTACGAGGATCGATGGAAAGAATACGAATCCATCTTCTCAATAAAATTCTCTGAAACAAGCATAACAAGTAAATTTTGGAAGCAAATTCATCCCTTGAGTGGTGAGGTGTTATAATATAAGGCATGAGACGCAGTGATCTGATTCAAATATGTCAATGTTATCGTATCTGGACGTAACAAAGTAGGATGATGATAGAGTATGACGCAGATATAGAAAACGCTTGCTCAAGATGTGATCGCGTTCGAAACCCACCTGCGTTTGAAGCCTAACTTTCTGTATTGTGGTTTGTTTATTTATTCAAAGAAAACATTGGTTTTTTAGAAGTGTACAAGTCTTCCAGCAACAGTGTGTTGTATTTCGAATGTTAGCTTCACTGATAGTGATTACGCATGTGTGCATGTACAAAACAACCGGATACGATTATAGTGAATGAAAACTATTTCCCAAAATGAATAATGAGAGATTTATCACTGAAACCTGCTGGTCAAGATTTAAAAAGCGCATTTGAACAGCAAAATAAAATCTTACCGTTCTTACTAGTTGAGGTGTGATTTTTCAGAGTATCTTGAAATGAAGGGATGTGCAGACACACATCTACAAAGTGTTACTAGAGTTCTGGGATACAGTTCCAAAAAATCACTTCAATTGATTGTTCAAAGTTTTTATTGATTATTTGGACTATGACTAATCAATCTTATGTGCTTCAAACAGACATAAGGGGTACAAGCCCTACGAAAACTTTGACACCACAATAATGCGAGACATTAACAGAAACGTTAATACATCATTCAGTACTAACAACAAATTTTCATATGATTCCAAACGTTTCATTGGCAATTATCAGTGGGAAAATATATCGTTCGACTAATAAAGACTACTTATTGCTGCTCACGTAAGTAATCGTTTCGAATATCTGTGTTTTCGAGAGTTATTTAGCCAATGAACTTTGAAGCACATATTAAAATATTTTTCAAATTATTGTCGCTACTGAAAACATGATCATGAGTAGTTGAAAATGCATTCAGAAAATGTTGGAGATGTTAGATCTTCAGAACTCGCTTGATAAATGTCTTTATTTCATGGTTGATCAGTTGACCTTGAAATCACATTTGTCACCAAGAAAAGTTTTATCTGTGATAGGCTACTGTGTCACAGTAGTGTGCTTTTTGGTGGCTGTTCCAAGGACGTCTCTATAGAGTATAAATAAACGCCATTTCATTGATTGGTTTCATTGTGTGCTGACTGGGTGTTTCTAGTATACAATTTCTACACTAAATCAAGAATTCTTGCAGATATGCCTTGGCCGAGGGATCAGAGCAGCCTACCTTGACGCTGGTCCATTGTTTGTTCTCATTATTCGACTAAGGTGAGCTCGTAATTGTTTAAGCATACCTAGAGACGAGCGTAAAAATTTGGCGACGGCATTTTTACAAACGATCTGGTGAGTTATGATTGATGCAGCTAAATTAGAAGAATTGTTTGCACAACACCTGAAAATGATGCAGATACTTACTCAGACGCACACCTCTTTCCAAGTCTCATCTACACCGAATATTCCTCAGTCAGATAGTGGTATGTCCAGTGGTGTTTCACAGTTTCCTTATGATTCTGGCGCAAATAGTACATTTGAAACTTGGTTCAGGCGGACCGGGTGGTTCCGAAGTTCATATTGTTTATAACAGTTACCTAACCATAATAAAGGTGCCCATGCCACACCTAGTTCATCCCACTCTAGCTCACACCGAAAGACGAAATCAAACCCTCCTACTCCTCGCTGGCATTGTGATGCATGGCACTTTTTACAAAACTGCCCAACTTAGGCAACGTCAATGCATAAAGTGTAAGGTCATCGGCCTAAAGAGAAGGCCGAACCAATCCGGAATTGCCAAGAAGTCTGTTCCATGGTCCGATGTCTATTCATTTAGACTAATATCATCCTGTCAAGGCTCATCATCAAGTGATAGGAAATTCATTACTCTTAATGTTAATGGGCATTTGTGAAGAATGCAAATACATACCGCATCTGATGTCACCATACTCTCACGCAAAAATTCGACAAAACTGGACAGCACAAGCTTGCAGCACACAACACAGAATCCTCGTAAAGCGTGTGGTTAGGACAATTAGACTGTAAAGTTACCTTCCGAGACTCGTCATTTACTCGGGTATGTTATATAACGCCAGCTGATCTAAATTTACTTGGTTTAGATTGGTTCGACCATCTCAAATTGCCTGATATCCGTTAAATACCATGACCTCAAAACACATACGAGGAATCTAATGGCGCAGTATTCAACCATTTTCCAACCTGGATTAGGTCGGTTTACTGCCATGAAAGCAACACTTCGGTTGAAATCTGGGGCTAAGTCTGCTCTTTGTCCAAAGAGACCCGTACCAAATGCGACATTAGCGACAGTAGATGAAGAATTGAATCGCCTTCAACAACAAGGAGTTATTACGCCCGTTCCTCTCACTTCTTGGGCAGCACCTGTAGTCGTTACCAAGAAGGACAACGGCACAATACGTATATGTGCTGACTTCTCTACAGGTCTCAACGCAGATCTAGAACTGCATCATTATCCTCTGCCAGTCCCAGCAGATCTATTCAGTATGCTGAATGAGGGAAAGTTCTTAGCAAAACTGTGGAAGTAGATGAAGCATATATAGACCTCCTACTATCAATACCCACCTTGGTTTGTTCCAGTACAAACGTCTGCCTTTTAGAGTTAAGACTGCCTCATCTACTTTCCAGCACCTAATGGATACTATACTATAAGATATCTCGGGTGTTGCAACTTATCTCACTGATATCATAATTGTTGCGAAGACGTTAGAACAGCTACAGGAACGCACGACATTGGTACTAAAACGCATCCGCGGCAACAGTTTCCGGTTAGGCTCAGCAAAATGCCAGTTTTTATTGCGGTCGGTAAAGTATTTGGGACTTGTGTTTGATGAAGACGAATGCAGACCGGTTCCTGAAAACATTCGAGCTATCAGACTGATGCCCACTCCAACTAATTTCTCGGAATTACGATCTTTTTTCAGAAAATTCAGTTATTTTAAGCGTTTCTTCACCCAATGCATGATATTCGCGTTCCATTGAATTGTCTATTGCAGAGGAAAAGCAATTGGAGTCTGAAGCGGCTGAAAGTAAACTCAAGTCTATAATTGGCTCAGAATTTTTAATAACCCACTACGATCCATGCTTGTCAATCATCGTAGCAGTAGAGGCTTTGGTATATGGCCTAGGCGCTGTTATTTAACATCAGTTTCCAGACTCGTCAGAAAAGGCAGTTGAGCATGCATCCCGTACAGTAACCCCAGCAGAAAAGAAGCCAGTTAGAGAAAGATGCTCTTGCCATTGTGTTTGCTGTTCGCCGTTTCCACAAGTTTCTGAACGGTCGGAGATTCTCGCTTCTCACAGACCATAAGCATCTGTTAGCAGTATTCGGTTCAAAATCTGGCATTCCAGCCCATTCCGCAAATCGTCTTCAGTGATGGGCCTTGGTAGTTTTGGGGTACGATTTCAAAATTAAATATCGACGCACTCTACAATTCGGTCAAGCAGACTCATTAATGATCTAGTGGTGGCTGGTGATGGTGATTGCATCTCTGTCAGTGGAAGACCAGGCGGAATGTTATCTGACAACCGCGATTCGCGCATTACCGATGTATGCAACAGACGTACAAAATGCTTCTAGAAACGACCTCATCATCAAGATCACGATGAAATATGTCACTAACGATTGGCCGTCCAAGACGTTTGATGGTGAGTTGAAGCAACTCTATCAGCGGTAGGAGTCACTATGCGTCGTGGACGATTGTTTGATGTTTGGTGAAAGAGTAGTAGTGCCAGAATCCCCTCGTGTAGAAGTGCTCAGACAGTTCTATCTTGGTCATACAGGGGTTAAACGAATGAAGTCCATAGCCAGAAGTTATGGATCAACATTTCACATCGCTGATTGAAAAATACATGCAGTGTCAGCAGGCGGCAAAGATAAATGCCAAATTTCCGCCGGTTTAATGGGTCAAACTTGATCATCCATGGTCTAGGATGCACGTGGGCTTGCCTTTAAGCCATTACGCTCGACACCATACCACCCGAAATCCAATGGGCGAACGGAAAATTTGTTGATACGTTTAAATGAGCATCGTTCAAGTCAAAATGAGAAGGGACACCAGCCGTCTCGTCAATGTCTTGTACATACATCAAATCAGTTGTTACTGGAGCAAACTGGAGCAAAGCTCGTATAAGATTTAGTGTAACGCACGGACTACATGAAAACCATCAACACCATATGAATATGTTGCTGAACTTTGTTTGACTGAATTCACTCATCATTAAAGCAGAATCCAAGAACTCCACAATCCATAGGAATTCACAAACAGTTGAAGAGATGAGTTTGGTCAGCAGACAAACTAAGTGCAGCAAAGATGCGCGATCAAACAACATTACAACATGTTGATGATAGTAGATTTGGCAGCAACTTCAACAATTCTTCACATTCTCTTCAGCAAGATTGTGGATGAAAAAACAAGTACAAACAAGCTAAAAAGAAGCATACCTGAACTAAATATCAAAGAATTGCATTCTCAGCAAGCGAGAGATCTAGAAGTCTCAGATGATCTGGCTGTGCCATTGTATACCCAACAACAGATGAAACAGATCCCTACCAGTATAGCGGCAAGATCAACAGCAGCAGCTCTCAACATCCACAAAGGAAGCATCAAGATTCTCCGAACCGCAAAATGTGCCAAACAAATTACTCTTGATGGCTTTGCCTTGAACGACGTAAATACCCTCACTTATTTAGTCAATATCATTATTGTCTAGGGTGGATCTCATGCGGTTTTGATGGGGCAGATTGGTTAACCAGAAATAAATTTCTGGAGCTGAGATTCTTCGGAAATCCCAACTATTAGCAAACAACATGAAAACCGGAATTTCCAATACAAATGTCAAGACAGTTCTACTGTTTGGGGTAGAAACTTCAAGGACTTTCAAAGCCGTCACCCAGATTATGCAAGTGTTAATAATCAGTGGAGAAAGAAATCAGGAATCAGCTCTGACAGTGAATAGAACACACACTGAAGAAAGCAGGTAACTGCAATATAAGACAATGCAGAACTCGGATCCTTTAGAATAACGGACAAAAGGAAAATCAAGCAACACGTTAGGCCGAGAAATGGAAACAGATATGAAACAAATCGTGAGAAGTTGAAGGGAATTTAAAATGGAAGCCAAAGAAACAGTATGCTGAAGAAAAATGCTAGATGGCCTACAAGGTTTTTGAGGTATCAGGCATATATATATACTAACTATGATAACAAAGTGGTGCGTAACTGGAAATAAATAATGGTTCAGGTGATTATTCTTTCTTCATTCAAATGTCATATTCCGAATACTTTTTTAAAGAATTTTCAACATGTTGCATTCGAATCGCAATGAATTTATGGGTTATTCAATGTTATTATAGGTTGTTCAGGTAACTTTGAATCAAATGGTGAAAAACCTTCAAAGGCTGTTTAATGCAAAGTATGACAGCAAACAACAGTGAAGAGTAAACGTAAATAGCAAATAACCTTTTATTCATATATAAATTGTTTTAACGAACATAAAGTGTTTGTATTTCAATAATTATTCAAGTATTCCTTGAACAAAATGAAATGCTGTTTCTTTAAATTGACGAAGAATCTGTAATGGAAAAACGGAAATGTTTCTAAATAGAACAAAACTGTGTTATTTTTCGTAATTAGTTCAATTTGAATTTGGAAATTCTTAAAATGACTATGCATTCATTCATTCTGGTGAAAATTCATACAGTGGAAATTGAAAATTGAACGTTCATTCAAATAATAATTGTTCAATTGACAATATTCACTCAGTCAAATGATGGAATTCTTTCAGATTTTTCATTTACCATAATTATTGATACTTTTAATATTAGAAGATGAAACCATCGATTGATGTGAGCTGAACCACTACTAAAACTTAGGTATTGCAGATTCATTTTTTGTCCAAGATGTGAGATTCAGCTGCAATAAAGTATTCTATTTTATTTAATCACCATCATTTAGCCTAGATTTTTCATTAACGAATACACTTGCTCAAGCTTTAACACATCAGTTCATTCCATCTAAGAATTAGAATTGTCTGATACAATCGATACGTAGTCTGTAATCAGTTACTCACGTTTCTAGTAATTGTTTAGGAAATATCTAAATACAAAAAAGATAAGATAAATTGCGGAAATATTATTTCAGGTTTAATTAACTAATCACAGTCAATGCTCATTAATTTCACCATCACAGAACATTACCTAATATTTCAAACATCATAAGCGGATAATACATACTGACTTAATGTATTAACATAAGGATATCTCGTACTGACACTATTGTCTATTGACATTATTGCGAATGTCTACTTTCTTCGACAATTTCAATTGGCGAGTTGTGAGTTTTAATTAACAAATGAGCCACTATTGTTCTTACGCATATTGTAGATTTCATTATACATATCGTTCAGTATCAGAAAAGTGGCTAAAAATGAATGAAAAGATTATCATAAATTACATCAAGTTTATGTCAACAAATAATATCAGTCAAGATTGTATAATACGATGCTCATTAGGTCTTAACTGGTGCTTTGCATACCATTTTGTGTCAAATGATAATAATCATGAAATCAAAAATATAATAATGTTGTTGAAAATGTAAAATGGATAACTATTATAGAGTTTCCTTCTTTGAGTTGTGTGATTCGGCTGTGGAACTTTCATTGCTCTTATGAGAAATGTCCTTAGCCACAACTACAGGTAGAATCGATGTCTTTGAATTTCACTGCATTTTCTTACCAGTTTGTTTTGTCTACCTAAGTGATGATTAATCATTGTTGAAATGGCAAATCCCATTATTGATCTATGACGGATACAATCAAAATTCAGATAAGTGAAGGTGGACGTTCATTTAAAATGAAGTTTGTTGAGACGGTGTGTGAAGTCAACTAAAAGAAATTCAAGTACTTCACATCCAAATGCCATTTGTGCTGATTGTATTGTTCAAAAGATCAATGATAGCTTCACAATGAAATTATCTAGCTCTCAAAGCGAAATTCATCATTATTTCGCTATAATTAAATGTTAATCTATCTCATATCGATTCGAGAATAAAAGTAATCACAAGAAAATTTCACTTACCATGGTGAAGATTGATGTTGGCAATCGCTTTCTGTTTCGTGTATAAAAATGATTCCAGTATTATAAGTGCTAAAACTAATTTAAACACGGAAATGAGTGTTAACTTTTGGTTCATCGATTATCTAACGAACAAATATTTTTTGATTGAAATGAATACAACGAATCACAAATTTTGCGCTTTAATATGTATTTAATAAAACTAAAGTTTCTGTTAATTGTCAAAAGAAAATGAGAGAGTTTGCTGATCACTTCCTCAAAAATTAAACTATTTTTCGCCACTTCTATCGATTAGCTCCTTTTTCGATTATATTGACATTTTATGCACTCAATGGCTGATTGGCTGATTGACGAAATGTATGTATCACTGTTATTTATTGTTTGAACTACTAATGAGAAAAATTTACATTTATGGTAGATTGTACAACTGAGATTGTACATGAGGATATTTCCATGGAAAAGGAAAACACAGAATACTCCTTGTTTCGCCTAATCAGAATAAATTCATCTTTTATTTGTGATAGAAGATTATTCAATGCGATAAATAAGTGATTACATTATTTTTACTAAATATGTGATTAGAAATACATGATATGATTTGCATTACTTTCTGTCGGATGACGTATTCTTTCAAGTTGATTACATCTTGCTTCAGAATAATTAGATTTCATTTCTGTTGAATTTTAAGAAATTACAAAAAAAAAAGAATTGTGAGTTTCATGGATGTTGGTAGTCATGGTTGTTATCGATTTCAAAGAAAATCTGTTTCATGAATTCACAATATTTACCTGCCCAAGTTTTATTTTGTGCAAGAAGACATCTTCTCCATATTTGAAACGTTTTACGATTAGATACTGAAAATTTAAATACATGTTATTTTCATTACAGAGATTTGTTTATGGTTAGACAATAAAAATTTCAGTTGCCATTTCAGTGTTCTGATGGTTAAGAATTCGCTAGTGAGATCGAGCGTTTTAAGGGCTTGATTCCCGTGATCGATGATTATGGATGGTGAAAACGACACAAGGATTAAATGGTCAATAAGTAATTTCAAGGTTCTAAGATGAACATGTCACTCATTTTAATTGGCTATCTTGGTGTCTAGGTAAAATTTTATTCACGAATATAGTTAAATTAGGAAGTTTAATTTCTGTAAATGTTTTTTTCAACTCATTACTGTGGAAATCGTAATTTTATTAAATGATCAATAGATGAAGACCAATTATTGTAGAAAATATTTCCTATGAAACGAACTGTGGTACTTTGTCATCGTAAATTCCATAGCATTTGTTAATTCTAGGGTATTCAGGAAAAAAAATATTGAATAATAAATGAAGTTGAATATAAATTCAATAACTTCTTGATTCAATGAATATTACATTGTGAAAAATACGTATACTAAAATCACATTTTATCCGATTATTAAGGAAAATCATACAGGTATATTTCACTTGTTTAGTACATTTTTTACCCAGGCAGCGTTCTTTTTAACTGTAAGCAAAAGCCAGATGAAAATCGTTTGGAACTATGCTACTAAGTATTTTATATGCAGAGTTCAACAGCTTCACTGGTAAACATATGTCAATGAAACAATCTGAAAAATGTACGTTAAAAATAATTTTGTGGAGTTTGGAAGGATCTGAGTAACTTGATTGCGAAGCCTACATTTTCCTTAGTTACATTTTCATCAGTACAAATTTAAGGAGGAGGTGAAATGATTAAATTTCATAACATTTGTATCCCAACTTTCCAAAATGACTTCGATTTTGACTGGTTGTAGTGGACCTACGTCAATAACGTTTTGCTAATATTGTAGTGAACGAGAACACAGGTGGGGCAACCGAATTGTATTTAACGAAAATTACAGAGTTACTCAGTAAAATCGGAAAACCATATCGTAAATCGTTCATTAGCAAAATATCAGTTCATCATATCGAACTGGACTGTTCCTGTTGCAAACAACATCAATCCATTGTCATTATTCATGCGTTTCATACAAATTCCATTGTGTTCTAACTCTTCCTTTCTTGATCTTTCCCCATCTTCTGCTGCTGCCAGACATTATGTTTACACTCACGTCATACACTACTTATAAGTAGCTCGCACCATACTCGTCCCCCACTTTTAATAAGCTGTCGTCGTAGTCTTTCAAATCTGGGACCCTGGTCAGTTAATATCACCTTCCGTATTCCGTGACACGCTACAATATGCCGGATTACCACTTCGGTCATTGTTCTTGCCCGCTGGTCTGGAATGGATACGGCATCTATCCAACGTGTAGCATTTACAATTTCCCGCTGCTGGGACACGGCGGCAGGCACATTCTCGATGAATCGCCACGCCAACAACTGCGCCTCCGTCTCCTCATCGATATTCGGCAGGGCACGGCGCAACAATCTGATGAGCTCCTCAGCAAGCACCAGCGGGTCACCATCAGTTGACAGCCTTGCCAACCGGAACCTCTGCGGCGCCTCCTCCCCGACCACTGGGCTGTCGAACTCCTTCATCAGCCGCCCGGTGACCTTCTACCACGCCGTCTTCCCGGCGGCACCGCCTTCGCCTTACATCCACGCAGCGTCCCCAGCAACGTCAACTCCTCCCCGGGCCCCTTCACACCCACGAGCTCCACCGCGGCCTCAAACTCCTCCAGGAAGCTCAGCAAATCTCCGCCCTCCAACTCCTTCGGCCACAGGAGCTCCTTCCTTCTTTCAGGCATCGACACCAAATGTAGTGAACGAGAACACAGGTGGGGCAACCGAATTGTATTTAACGAAAATTACAGAGTTACTCAGTAAAATCGGAAAACCATATCGTAAATCGTTCATTAGCAAAATATCAGTTCATCATATCGAACTGGACTGTTCCTGTTGCAAACAACATCAATCCATTGTCATTATTCATGCGTTTCATACAAATTCCATTGTGTTCTAACTCTTCCTTTCTTGATCTTTCCCCATCTTCTGCTGCTGCCAGACATTATGTTTACACTCACGTCATATACTACTTATAAGTAGCTCGCACCACAATATTTTCTCGTAATCACTAGACTGTGGTAATCTCCTATCATAGCATTACTTGGTCGATTTAATTTAATTCGTATTTACTGTCCCACATTGTAAAGATAATAGTCAAAATATAAACAAATAATATTTCTTCAATAAATATCTGAATGAATGATTCAAATCTCATGAAATCTATAAAGTATGATAATGGACAACGATATATTGAGCTTAGAAATATTTCCATAAAAATCACTCCTAACTTTGAATATTTTCTATTCCGAATTCGGCTTCCATTTGTTTATTTTTACACTCCATATCTAAAATTGACAGTATTATCAAAGTAAAAAGTCACTATTCATCACTTACATTCAACAAGACGTGTTCTATTATCGTCACCTAAATGATTATTCACTCTACCTGCACAAAAATGGCCAATAAAAATAATTGATTAGAATTGTTGTGTATTCTTAAGTATTTCTACAATCGCTTATAAGAATGTAGCCGATGGTTCGATTTTTACGTTGGCGTTTCAAATACATTCCAACAATCTAACCAAATATCTTTCTAACAGTCGGATAGTGAAAAAAAACAAGACACGATAACTTTTAGGTGTGAATCACTTGAAATGCACAACAGTCTGGTGGATTAAAGTAAAGCTGCTTGCCTTAAACAATCCAATAGACAAACGATGTTTTCAACCAATTATTTGTTGATTCAATAAAAGTGAAAATGTATAAAAATCGAACTGTCAAGTCTCCATGTAAGATATATCTATTGCTTTTCAAAATATCACCTACTTGCTGTCAATCATTCGACAATCATAGACACACAAACCTATTTACAGTATCAGTGATGCAAATGAATTTTATGGCGACTACACTTCGTCTACGGATATTTTTTTCAACAAGTGTTTAAAATGTATTATCGCTTTACCAGTAAATAACATTTTACTTCAATCAAATATTACAATGTAATGAAATTACCAGAGTAGTCTTTCACATATTTCACAGACTTATGGTATTGTTCGGTATAATACTTCATTTTCGCTAGATTTTTAATCAGTAAAAATTTGCGTTATTCAATTTATTTCATAAACAAACATTCTACTTGATACATCTATGATCAGTATGTTTTAAACCATACTGCTAGAGGCGATATATTGACATCAACATATTATTCAGTGAAACAAATATCTGTTGATAAACTGCATTTCAATGAAAGCTGTAAATATAATTTTCAACAAATTATTCAATCTAATATTTATTTCCACCTGTTTTATGTATGATCAATAAAACCTTAATAGTTCACACATGATAAATTTCAAATAACTTACAACACAACTTACTTATTTCATTGGACATACGTTCATTAACATCTTTTTTCTTCAAGTCATAATCTTTAAGTAAGATGAATATGATATATTGACCTAGCAAACGGTCATGATGATTAAAACACGCAACTTGACTTCATTTAAAATCGAACGATTTTATAATGTAAAACATTTTCACATTTGTTGTTGTATTCCGTAATATCAATGATTATTTACGATATAGTATACGACTACGTTAAATCAATACAAACTTTATCGTTTGCGAAAATACCATACAAAAATTTGTTCGCTTCAATATTGGCTTTTAATTTTGATATTATTTTTTAAATCAAAATCCGTGAATGTATTGCTTAATAATTCATTCTTAAGTAAGAGAATTTTTAATGGAACAGCAAGCCTTCATTATAGAGACTACGAATTCGGAAGTTGGCATTCAACTACGATACACTAACTTCAACCTTTTATTCGAAGTAAAAGTTCGACATTAAACAAGTTTATAACATACCACTTAAAAGGAACCAAGAATTTATTGCTGAAGCTACGCCTACTAAAACAAATATTGGAAAAAACATTTTCTATGAACCTATTCTTTCTTTCATTTGGTTTTATACCATCGATAAACACTACGGATTGGTCCTTTGTAAGTGAGAAAGATAAGGCGACATCGATTTGCTAATTGAAAACAAATAGTTACAAACTAAATTTGAAGCGGCTAATCACATTTTCATAGTGTATGTAACAATAATCCTGATGACAATACAAACACCTACGCAATAATCACAACTTAGTCAGCAGATGTTATTAACACGAATCAAGAACTTCTTTTTTATTGAGAATCGGAAACCAAATCAAAAATAACACTGCAGTATCGAAATATTTGATAAAACCCAAGCTTCTCATTTAGTTTAAACGGTTGAGTGGCTTGGGTTCTGACTACGATTTGTAGGAACAATTTCTAATTTCCTTATATCAATCTCAGGCGAAGGCCGTCTGCGCGACAGTAAATATTGTAATCTCAATGCGGTTTGATTGGTGATTGATTATTGTAAATGAATAAGCGAACAGAAATAAGAATTAGGAAGTAGAAGCAAAGTAAAGAAGGCGAATTGTTCATTGTTCATTGACAGTCTGAATTTAGTTGATAAGTCGAAAAAGAAGTTAGCAGTGCACTCACTCACTGAATGAAATACAGTCGATGTAGAGAGCGAATAACTTACAAAGTTGAATAACGTGTAAATAATGACTGGACGAGAATAGACTGGCTAGTCTGTTCAAAAGCTGCTACAAGTAACTTGAATCATTTTGATTGACTAACTGTCATCGGCGTCTGTATTTCTACTAAAAGCTCGTTAGCCGAAGCATTAGTACATTCGATTATTTCAAAGAAAGTAATTTCAGCACAAAAATTGAGCCTATCACAGTATAGTCATCATGCTAGTAAAGAAAATCACTTCCAATCAAATATATATTGCTGACAGAATTGTTAAACTTTCTAAATGCTTCTCTGTATGAGGTTAAGTACTCAGCCACTGAACAAAAATATCGATAAGAAAACTATTCGATAAAAGCCTCGTGTGCTTTTAGATAAATGAGAGCTGGTTTCTCACACTATAACTTATATAACTTTCGGAAACACTGACCTTTGGAATCGATTCACCTACTGTTCACCTACCTATCTGTTCTTACTATACTAGTCACTTGATAGGTAGATTGAGGAAATCTCTTTATATCTCAGCTGTGATAGATCAGTTCTAAAGCTCAACGAGATTTGCAAATCCATTGAAAACTTCTACACATTTATCGTTGTTCTCCGATGCTGATATGATCAGTCAGTCATGCAGATGTAACGTACAGACCAGCACAAATGTACATGTGTTTGACTCTTCACTCATCATTATCACGGTAAAATGTTAATCTGCAACAGTTGTGTTCGGCCACAACGTGTAGTTTTGCACACAGGCCCATTAAAGCGTGCCCCTTACTGTCAACTGAAAACGCACTATCGAAATTATTAACTGATCATACTATTTTTTCAGTTACAGTCTTGTAAATCTTTCTGCTGTGATAACTATTTAGTATATTCGTCGTTTATACGTTTTGTGACTTGTGATAAAATTCTACCGAGGATGTGTCATTTTGATGTGTCCTTTTTGTGAACATATTTTTCTCAATTTTTCTTCTTCCTTTCTTCATTTCAGTTCCTTAACAAAAATGTATTTAAAACTTATCACTTTGTCTCATGTATATAATTATAACCTCATATTTAACAAAACACTCAAGTTGTTTTCCAATGAAATCGGTTTGATTTGTTACCTAGTCAATGTCTTAAACAAAATAAATAAGCAATCACCTTATCGATCCTTGTAATCAATAGCTTTTGACTTCACTTGCCTTGATTTATGATCATCAGTCGTTCATTGTAGCGTAGTCGATATACTTTATGACATCTTTCTTGTGTGTGCATTATTTATAATCTGATGCAAGAAACATCCGCTCCCTATGTGCATCACAGTTATATCTCGTAAACGAGTATCGTAAACAGAGTATCTTACGTTAATTAGTCGATTGCGACTTGTAAAATTTTAATATTGCTTAAGAATATGAATGCTTTAATTATGTAACCGATTGTAAAGTTATAATTACTCTTGCAGTTCGCTTTTAACCCGCAAGGTGTAGGTTCATCCGCGTCCAAATCCAAAAACGATAATTCTTGAAGAGAATGTTTCAAAACAATATTACACCTTTGAGTTTCCAATTACCACAATAGGTTCCGTTGCTGAAACGAATAAGTACTTCCATTCCGTTACTACTAGAGTATCGAATCCAAATATGGCTGTAGCCATATTAGATATCGAATTTAAACAACACATTTATAGTTCAAAAGGAAACATGAAAACGTCGAAATAGAAATAATAACAAGATACAAATGATAAAATCTCAACATGGAATCAAATGGAGAACCAAAATGTCAACAGAAAGAGTCAGTCATATCATAACACAAATATATATATATAAATATATATATATATACATATATATATATTTATATACATGGAAGGATTTTCGAAATAAACAAAACCTTCAAAATAGATTCTACACCCATTACTATTTGATATTAAATTGAATTTATACATATTTACTATCATACTATTGTATTCGTCTGTGACAGAATAATGACTCTACAGTTTGTTTTAATTTACTGTCTATCATTGATAAAAACAAACATTTACAGTACTAATTTTTTTTTCATTTCTATTCAACTTAGTCATCGATATTGATGCCAAAAATTTTAAAAATAGATCATATCAGAAAGTTTATTTATGAATGACAACTATAATAAATAGATATTATTCAACGTGTTAGTCAGTATGTTGTTTAGTTTATATACAAAAACACCTTTTTCATTAACAAAACAACAACAGCAAAGTAATATTATTATATTGAAGCGGTGTTTTAGTCAATGTCTTGGAATGGAATTTTTTGTTTTAATAATTATCTAAATCTAAGGTAACCTTAATATTATCTATCATACTATTTTGAAAATATCTGAGACGAAGATCGATCATTTTTTTTACAAATGAATATACAAGTAATCGAAATGGTTATCTAGTTATTTATAGTTCATACTGATAATCACAACCGAACTAACGGAATATGATTTATTATGTGATGAACAATAGTGATAGAATGAATTGATCGTTGTGGCAGAACACATTTCAAGTGAAATTGATATCAAAGTCTGTTGGATAATTTTATTCAACAGCATGATAAAATAGCATGAAAGAAAATTGTTCATAGGCCATACATATTGTTCATTGAAAAGTTTATTAATTAATTAGGATACCTTGGATTTATTGGGCGGAAACGTTGGAGGACAGCTTATTGCGAAGATGAAAAACCAACTTACATTTCGCAAAAGAACCTGCAAAAATGAGGAAAGTTAATTGAACACAGATTGAGCGAATCAGCAAAGTGCATCACATTGCAAGTCTTCACTTGGCATTCTCACGAAGAAATGAATTGGGTGGAGCAAGAACTACACTTCAATGAAAGTTGTAGGCAGATGTGAAACTACTCAGCATTGACTAGGTGAAACCAGAAAGGTTGGTTCATTATTATCATTATTCTTATTTTACACTCAACTAACAAAGTGTTGCATAAACTATGCAGATCTACAAATAATATCAACTTTTGGCAAATGCTCTTCAGGAGATATACTCGTTGTCTGCAATAAAAGGTGAAGTTTTTCGCACGAAATTACAATTAATGTTTGAGAGGCTCAAATGAACAATACAAGATGTGGTCGCGTTTGAAACTCACCTGCATTTGAAGCCTCACTTTTTCTATCATGGTTTGTTTAACTCTTCAGGGAAGACTTTGGTGACTTAGAGGTGGATAAGTCTTCTGGCAACACTGAGTACGATTTTTAGTGCTAGAATCACTGAGAGTGATGAGGCATGTGCACTAAATGCAAAACAACGGGCTACATAAAATGCAAATGAAAAAGGCGAAGAGAGATTTATGACAAGACATTGCTGGTCAGGACCTAAAGAGGGGATTTGAACAGCAGAAAAAATCTTCACCGTACTTACTATTCCATATGTAGTTACTGACAGTATCATGAAATTACCGGAAGTGCAGAAACGATAGAAAATAATTGCAAACACACATATACAAAGCGTTAACATAGTTCTGGTATACAGCATGATTCGTCATATATGAAAGTGACTAAGTTGCAATAGTCAGACGCTCATGATGCAAAAATTAAACGTGCATATGGTCAGCACGTTTATCACTAACCTCGTAGAAGTGACAAATAAACCAATTACTGTTATCTATTGGTAATTTGTCAGAATAACAAGCTAAGTGCCAGTCTGTGTTTGACAGAATGACTGAATATTGTGAAATAGGAGAACAGAGACGAACGAGAAAGATTTTTTCGACGAACATCGGAAAGTCATCAATTTACATAGCAAAAATACTGAATGAGAAGTCGAGGTAAAATTTATACAACATATCAATATCGCTGTCGAAAAATCGCTTCGATTGATTGTTCGAAGTTTTTATTTATTATTCGGACTATGACTAATCGATCTTATGTGCCGTTTATGCACAATGCTTCAAACAGACATAAGGGGTACAAGCACGACGAAAACGAACGACTATCGAAAGACTGATCAGTTATTGGAAAGCGGTTTGTATACTAATATCTCTTTTTTTCTGTTTGAAGGGTCATCAGGTCTTATTTAGTGAATTTTCACTTCCTACGATTACTTTGACACCACCATCATGCGAGACATTAACGGAACCGTTAATACATCATTCAGTAATATCAAAAAGTTTTCATATTATTCCAAATGTTTCATTGGCAATTATCAGTTGGAAAAATATTTCCTTCGAGTGACGAATATTTATTATTGCTACTCAACTAAGTAATCATTTCGAATATTTGTGTTTTTGAGAGTTATTTAGCCAATGAACTTTGAAATTATTGTTGCTACTGAAAACATGATCATGAGTAGTTGAAAACTGCATTCGATAAATATTTTTATAAAATGTATTTCTTATCTATTCACTGTTTCAATATCGTTTGTATGATTCTTTAATCAGCAGTAATCTGTTATTGTTAGGATATTCATTCAATATCCTAAGAGACTTATTGGTCAATTCCTACTGGTCAATTTTATCATCGTCCTAGATTTCAACGTCACGTACTCCAATGTCGTTTCTTATTGGTTGTCCTGACTATCAATGTCACTTCAAATGTTGCTTCCCATTGGTCGTCTTAACTGGTAATGTCACAGACTTCGATGCTGTTTCTCATTCGACCAAAATGTATAAATACGCATTATTTGTAACGTTTTATGACCTAGGAACAGGACCAGGACCCAGTCCCGGATCCCTAGTCCGGGATCTTGATTCTCTTCTGGATTTGGACCTCATGCTTTCTAGATGCCTGTAGAATACAGGTTCTACTTCATATCAGGTCTTCTTATTTTTACTCAATATTGGTGTTGGAATAATCGGATTTGCTTATCATATTGTGTTGCCGGATCCTCGATCTTCGCGACTAGGTAAACTAGTAATTGTTCAAGTATATCAAAATGACGTGTTTACGTGCAGGCGTAACAGTTCTTTTTGGACAATCATCATCAGCATTGTTGATGTCGATTAACCACTTTTTTAGGTATTTAGAAATGGTCTACCCTAAAACTGTTATATGTCAACCTACTTTATGCATTTCTGGCACCGGCGGTAACCGTTTTACAGAACAAAGGTAACACTTGTCGCTTGAGCCCTATCACCATTTCCTCAACACAATTTCTACTTTTATTTATCACTCGTTTTGTATAAATATTACATCATAACTGTAATAACAACCTGATATC